CAACATTGCACGTTTCAGGTACCGGTATATGGCATACAATTCGTACGATCCCTCAGGGATTATAATTTCCTTGTCGTCCTCATCAAAGTAAAATTTATTATTCGACGCATTTACATTCGGTATCGTGTTATAGGTTTCAAAGGCTGCCAAACCGAGTTCGTAATCGCCATCGCTCAGATCTATGGCTGGAAAGTAGCTTCCCGCGAGAGTGCTACTCTTGCTGGTGAGTGTAAATGTCAGCGACATCTTCGTCAGAGACCAAAACGATTACTGGACACTGATCGCAGAACGTTGGGCCTTAAATCGGCTGTTAACTGTCTGCAGGAAACGTAGACACAGTTGTCCGCAAATGCTCTGATCGTAACGTCGATAGGACGTACGATTGTACTCAATCGTATTATTATCAAGATATCGCACCAATTCACTGGGTGGTCGAAGATTACCGAAAATATCGAAATATATCACGCGATCGTCTCTTTTCGCGTACGCTACCCAATGAGTACCGGGCCCCTCGACGTCATCCAAATTTACGATTCCACTCTCGTTTACGCGCGGCGATGTAGGCAGTACGTCGCGTATGAAAACGCCCCTGAAGAACGGAATACGCATACGTTTCGCCAATTGTTCCAATTGTACATTGGTGGTGACGCCCGTAGGCATTTTTAGTATTTTCTCGACGTTTTTTTTTTCCTCTCATGACATCTTTTCCTCGTTTGTATGGTGCGAGATAAATTCCACGACCTTCCATGCTGCGATTATGACGTTGCATCTTCTGCAGCTGACGCTGCGCAGCCTTGGTATCGTTTACAGCCTTTGCGATCCCCGCCGCTCCACCAACTAGCGATCCAAGCGCTCCCAGCAGCGGGAGAATAGGTAGGATTCCACTTCGTTTTGCTATTGGAAGTATTCGATTTCGTAATATTTTCTTCTTTGACGCGTTTCGCTTCTTTTTCATACCCATTCCGATTTTTGTCTTAGCCTTCATATTAGGTGGTAAACTTAGTTCTTGCGGCTCACAGTTAGATGACGTTAGTTGTAGGTGTAATTTATTTTGACATCTGAAACTGGCTGCATTTTAGAGGTTAGACATTTGTCAATAAAATTCAGTGCGAAGAGATTCATTTAAGCGAGCAGTGCTATTTTTTCTTTTGATTAAAGTTAAGATTTAAATAACATTAAACAGAAGGTGCTTATATTGAATATTTGTTATAATTTTGGATAAATTTATTTTACTTTAATTAATTTTAACTTAATTAGTCAAATTTGTTTTATGTGAAATCATTATCCAGTAAACTCATTAATGTTTATGTTATTGATACTTGATATTTGCTGTGTATTTTATTGTTTTTGAACAAAGTTTTATTTTTTATTGTTCAAATACACTTTTCTCGAAAACAGTTTGCTTTTGAATTAGAATATCTCTTTTCTATAAAAAAAAGTTTGAAAAATCTGAGAAAATTTTTTAAAATTGTTTCTATAATGTTTTTGAAATTAAAAAATCTCCATAGGGGTTGAGAAACTTACAAAGGGAGAATACAACTGATCTCATATTGATTTTGATTTTATTGCGTACGAAAGTACATCGAAAATAAATAGATATATGTGCGAGCTTTTATTCGAATGTATCTTGCTAATGGTATTTTCTCATATTTGAATATGCAAGTATTGTATAGTATACCATACAAGTTGAGATAAAATAATCATTTTCAACAACAGCGCATAGCGCAGTGGATAAAACGTTTAATTAATAACAGCGTTCTTGTATTCAATTCCCCAGTTTCAAATTTTTTTATAACCTATATTTATTATACAGAGTGTCCCACATAAGACATCCAAGAAGAAAAATATAAGTAGAACAGATAAAAGTGAAAAAATATTGTAGATGTCATTTTTCGAACAACCATGTAAAATTTCGAGTTATTGAATAAAATAGATGGGTTAATCAGAGCGTGCGACGCGGTAAGCGGGACATACAGCATATCTGTCTCCTTTCCGAGCAATCGTCCACTTTCTTGAGTTCTCTATATTAGCATTATATACTTTCGAATAAGTTTCAGATGAGTGTGATGGCTTATTTGACAGCTTATATCGAAAGGATTATAAAAAGATTTTTGAGTGACTGAACCTTTGTTTCGAAAAAACAACGAAAGAAAATTGTAGCCGTGCCGTTTATGAAGCTTAAGTTAAGGTGTACTACCAGCGATGCGGCGTGATCGAGTAGACTAAGGCACGTCTCGATTCTTCTGATACTGGCAGCAAGAGCGTTCGAATTCTACAAACTGCTTTTCTGATAGAATATTTTTTTCTTATTTTTCCAAAGTTGGAAATGTAATTAATAATTTTACATGCATTATTCTCTATTTTTTTAATTCTTTTTTTTGGGAAGAGTTTTCGAGGTTTTTAATTTTTGAGTAATATGAAAACATTACATTGATTCACTATGTGAACTATGTCGCATTGCTGATAAAACATCTTAAGTCTGATAAACAACACGGCTGCAAGCATTCAACTTTTTTTCGTTGTTTGTTTGAAACAAAAGACTCATTCACTGAAATTCCTTTAAGGGTATAATCGTCTCAATATAAGTTGCCAAATAAGCTATCGTACTTATCTGAAACTTGATTTCGAAAGTTGGGACATCTCTTTGTAAGTTGGACTATCGTAAAGTTTGTCTCACCGCGGTACGTGCATTCATCTGCTAATTTTCTATAATTAATAATCTTAAACATCTATAATCTTAAATCTATCATCTTAAATATTTGATTGTTCGCAAATAGAGGACTTTTTCGTTCAGTTTGATAAAATTTGATTTTACTTCATGTGTATGTGCACACGAGATGACGTACGAGATGTGTCAAATATCCTTATATAGTTCTAATAAAGATTATTGGATAATTTATATAATAGTAATAATAATTCATAATTTATAATGATAATTTCTACTTTTTAATAAAATATATTGGTCATGTTTGTTAATAGTATATTTTTTTGTTTAGATAGCCCATTTGTTGGATATTAAAATAGATGTGCCATCGTCACAACATATCGTACAAACCATATCAATAAAGCAAGTCTGTTTTCTCGTAAGAGAACTTTTGGCTATCTTTGAGAATGAACCCACTGAATCTTTTGTGAAAGAATTAATACATTTATTACCAAAAGTTTGCTCGAAACTCGAAGATATTGTTGCAAGATTAAGACAAGATAATAATTACAGTTTCAGAGAAGGAGCAAGATTACTATTATGTCTTCTCACTACAATTTTTAATTGGAAAGGATTTGTTAGTGTAACATATAATACATTGTTACGCGGTATGATATTTTGTATCAAATGGATTTTGTATAATTGAATATTTTATATCCAATTATAAAATTTAAATGTTATATATATATATATATATATATATATATATATATATATATATATATATTACTTAAATTTTGTTGATATATGTATCTTTTTAGAAGGATTACGAACTTTAGCTGGACGAGTTAATGAAGAAAACATACACTTACGTTCTTGTAAAGAACTTGTTGCAGAATCATATAAATATTTCGAATCATTATCTGATATTGCTACCGAAATATCATTAGCTACTGCTCTTGTTAACATGTGTCAATCATTAATGAAACATTCTGAATCTTACGTTCAACAATATAAAGACAAACATGGTAAGTAATTTTTATTACTGCTTTTTATTATTCTTAGTTGATCTGTAGAAGTCAAAAGTAAATCAAAAGCAAATTTTTATTTGACTTTGGAGGCCGCATGCGGCGAGTTTTATGTGCGTGATAGTATATCCATATACACGCGAATACTAATGTATTGCTCGCACAGACGCAACAGCTACAAATTAGGTCTGGTTGCACCGATCGAGTCATAAACTAACTAAAGGTCATTTTATAATTGCATAAACATGGTCGTGAACGTAAGAGTCGACCGTATTATTTATTAACTGCTTTATTCTGATTAGTTGTCATAATCACTTATAACTACTTACAACTATGCCAGTGGTGCGATTCTGTAACTCGTTAATTGCAATAACGAATTACAGAATCGCATTATAGGAAATTCTATCTATTTTCTTGGAAAGAAGGGGAACCTTTGACTATATAAGTATGGACTGCCAGTTGGCATTCTCACGCTGTAATCAACATGAAGAGCGCCTCCAAAGGCTAAGTGGCGAATCCCAATATTTCGATAACATATTGTGAACTCACGTATAGTAGTAAACCTATACCTTTACCAGTTAAATGCTTGATATTCGTTAATTTTTACATGCATGTCAAAGAACTGAACATATTAGAGAACCACAAATATATATTAATTAAATTAATAATAACATTTTATTTTCAAGTAAAATTATTTTATGAAAGTAGATGCATTATAATGTCTAAACAAACAGAGTTTTTTAGACACAAGTTAATGAAAGTCGTAATTTTTAGCGGGCAATAATATTATATAATTATAATTACATAAATATTACATAATTAAATTCAGTAATACATATATATATATATATATATATATATATATATATATATATATATATATATATATATATATATAT